TTTTGTTGCAGGGTGGCAGGGCGGGTTTGGTGCAGGGCGGGTTTGAACCAGCCACCCTTGGTATATGGGGCTGGCGTCCTACTCACTGAGCCACAGGTGCTGCCTGGGGGGCTATTTTTATTTTTTTGAGACAGAGCCTCAAGCTGTCCTCTGGGTAGAGTGCTGTGGCATCACAGCTCACAGAAAACTCTATCTCCTGGGCTCAAGTGAGTCTCCTGTTTCAGCCTCCCAAGTAGCTGGGACCCCAGGTGCCTGCCACAATGCTGGGCTATTTTTTGGTTGCAGCCGTTATTGATGTCTGGCAGGCCCGGGCTGGATTCGAACCCGCCACTTTAGGTGTATGTGGCTGGCGCCTTAGCCACTTGAGCCACAGGTGCCGAGCCTGGGGGGCTATTTTTAAAGCTTATTTTTAAGGTACCTGAAATATAAACCAATATAAAGACAGCATGGCCAGGTGTGGTGGCTCAGGCCTATAATCCCAGCACTCTGGGAGACTGAGGAGGGTAGATTTCCTGAGCTCACAAGTTTGAGGCAGATGGATTGCCTCAGACTACAGGCGTTGTGGTGGGTGTCTGTAGTTTCAGCTACTTTGGGAAGGCTGAAGCAAGAGAATTGCTTGAGCCCAAGAGTCTGAGGTTGCTGTGAGCTTTGATGGTATGGCAGTCTACTAGGGGGTGACAGAATGAGAAAAAAAAAACTTTGCACAAATTTGGTAGGTTCAAAGATAAAACATCTGGCTGGGCGCCCGTTGCACAGTGGTTACATGCACCAAGACTGGTGGGTTCGAACTGGGCCTTGAGCCAGCTAAACAATGACAACTACAACAAAAAGTAGCTGGACGTTGTTTCGGGTGCCTGTGGTCCCAACTATTTGGGAGGCTGAGGCAAGAGAATCGCTAAAGCCCAAGAGTTTGAGATTGCTATGAAGCCACAGCACTGTAACCAGGGTGACATAGGAAGAAATCACAAGGCAGGAAAAGATTTCTTGTGTACTTTTTGTCAAAATGTATTATTTTTCAATCTGAAGCATAGTATTTTGCACTTAGAGAAGAATACATGCCTGAATTTAAAAATCTCTTTTTTTTTTTTTTTTTGTAAAGTGCCATGGCATCGTCATAGCTCACAGCTACCTCCAACTCTGGGCTCAAGTGATCCTCTTGCCTCAGTTTTCCTATTTTCAGTAGAGGCGGAGGCAGGGGTGTTTTGCTGTTGCTCAGGCTGGTCTCAAACTTGTGAGCTCAAGCAGTCTACCCTCCACAGGCCTCCCAGAGTGCTAGGACTACAGCCGTGAGCCACTGCGCCTGGACTCAGGCATGTATTCTTAAAGACATACACTTAAGCTTTCCCCCTAAGACTGACTTTCCCTTGGAGAAATTTTTATTGTCAGTGGATTTTATCCATCAGTTTATGAACAAGTTGTAAATTGGGTGAGATGGAAAATTAGGGTTTTGATCTTTGCAGTATTCTAACTCATAAATTCTTTTTTTTTTTTTTTTTTTGGAGACAGAGTCTCAAGCTGTCCCTCTGAGTAGAGTGCCGTGGCATACCTCACAGCCACCTCCAACTTCTGGGCTCAAGTGAGTCTCCTGCCTCCGCCTCCCAAGTTGCTGGGACCACAGGCGCCTGCCACAATGCCTGGCTATTTTTTTCTTTTTTGGTTGCAGTCATCATTGTTGTTTGGCGGGCCCAGGCTGGATTTGAACCTGCCACCTTAGGTGTATGTGGCTGGCGCCTTAGCCACTTGAGCCACAGGCGCCAAGCCTAACTCATAAATTCTTATGTCCACATGAGACCTTAAGACCTTAATATATGTAATGGAATCTGTTAGGAATTTCTAACATGCTGTGCAATCTTGATTTCTTGGATTGTGGCTTTTTGGGGTGGCAGGTGGGGGTAGTAGTCTCCTGT